TTTTTTTTTTTGACAGGACCTTGCACTTGCCGGTCAGGCCGCCGAGCTATCTCCCTGGCCCTTTTAACCTAATCAGCTGTAAGAAACAGGTTCTGGGCTGGGCGTAGTGGTGCACGCCTGTAATCCCTGCACTCAGGCTGAGACAGGAGGATGCTTGCGAGTTCACAGTCAGCCTGGGCTGCCTGAACCGCACAATGAGACCCTGCCGCAAAAAGACAGAAATAAATGAATAAATAAATAAATGGAATATGCTCGGGTACTTGTTGCTCAGCCTCTTTCTCTATGCGGAAGCAAGGACATAATGAAGGTAAACATCCCAAGGCCACGCAACTTCTGGGGGGCCCACAGCTCCCCTGAAATAGGGGCCCTTCTCTTCACCTCTAGTGAAAAGTCACTCAACCAAATCTTGCTGTGGTCTGGGGGCTCCTGGAGATTCTTTCCAGGTTGTTCCCGACTTGGACCAAACAAGAACAGAAGGGAGCAAGAATGTACATGTATTAAAGGTAGGAGAACACCACGCTCTGTAGCACAAGTGTGGGCCAGGCAAAAGCTGGGGGGGGGGAGAGCACATGCTGCAGGGTGAGAGCTGACCCCTGGGAAAGACCCAGCCCAGTGGCGCCAGGCTCAGGTCTCGTCTTTTTTAGCCCCAGGCTGACCTCAGAGCGTGGCTGTCGTGAGCTGTCCCAGAAGGAATTGAAGGTAGCACTTTTGTGTGTGTGCTTGGGGCAGTGCGGGGGTGGGGGGATGCAACAGGGTCTCACTGTGCCGCTGAGGCTGCTCTACTCACTGTGTAGCCGGGGCTGGCTCAAGCTCTTGGCCACCCTCCTGCTTCAGCCTCCTAAGTGCTGGGATCCCAGGCCTGAACTACAAGCCCAGCAGCAGCCAGCACTTTCCAGCGGTTCTGGGTGCAGGGCTTAGGCATCTGTGTCCTGGTGCACCTATTTGATCAGACATTTTCCCACACCCAAGTCTTACAACTTGTGTGTGTGTGTGTGTGTGTGTGTGTGTGTGTGTGTGTGTGTGTGAGTGTGGTACCAGGGATCGAACTCAGGACCTTCCGCTTCTCTTAGAGTCCGTTAGGGTTTTGCTTCCACAACCTACACTCTACGTCCAAACCAGAATTTATGTGAAATGGCATACATTGCCTATAACTTATGCAATCTACCCACATACTTTTTTTTTTAATATTTATTTATTTTTACATTGTGTGTGTGCATGTGTGTGTGTGGCCAGCTCAGCCCACCAGGGGGCGCTGCTGGCTGGCATGTGGTGCTGGGGGATTGAACCGCAGTCCCTGTGCTTTGCTAAGCTTGTTTCAAGTAGGTGCTTTAGACCGCTGAGCCATCTCTCCAGCCCAACCCACATACTTTTATTATTATTTAGTAACAAATAATACTCAGTCTGGCCACAAGCACAGGGGCAGGGGAGATTTGCACAGTTCAGCCTCCCAAACAGCTTGGAACTAGAAACACTGCCACCCCGCCTGGCTTCCACGTTTCCAAGTGCTGGGATTCCGTGGACTCTAGGTATGCCTTCCAGGTTCCTGGGGTCCCGAGAAAAGATCTTATATTCTGAAAAGTAGGAAAAGAAGTGTGCTCGGCAGGGTGCGGGCAGATCACCGAGAAATCTCCTGGGTGGCCCGGAGGTTAACGGCGGACGTCTTCTGCGTCCCCCAATCCTCAGACTGATGTCGGATCTAGGCTGTCTAGGCCGTCCTAGCGAACTGCTCAGGAGGGCCGGCCTGACAGCTCAGCGGACTAAAGCGGCCCCTCAGTCAGGGCACAGCGGCCAGGGTTCGATCCCCAGCATGCCGCGCCGGCCCCGCCCCCGGGGCTCGCAGAGATGGATTGGGACTGGGCGTGGTGGCATATGCCTGTAATCCCAGACCTGGGGAAACTGAAAGCAGGAGGATCATTACGAGTCCGAGCTATGTAGTGAGACCCTGTACCAAAAATTGAGTCCAGAAAATAAATAGAAGGAAGGGAAAATGAATTAAAGAGACCGAGGGGGTAAGGTTTTTAAAAAGACTATAAATTTACCACCATCACCACCTCCACCACCACAAATAAATTTACAAATGGAGGTTCGTGTGCAGCAGTTTCCTGCGCTTTCTTTTCTTTTTTGGTTGACTTAATGGTGCCCTTCTCTTCCTTGAGCTAGTTCATTTTAGCATCTGGTCTTTTTTTTTTTAACTCAGACCCTTGTGCTTGCCATCTCCCGGCCCTAGCATCTACTCTTAAACTGAGGCTCTTAATTCACGAAATACTGAGCTGGATGAAGGTTTCCCCATCTAATGCAATTTTTGGCTCTCCAGAAGTCTGAAAGTCGGGAAGCAAAGGCTTTAAGTACTTTTTTCTACCTCGGTCTGAAGAACGTGCTGGAGAAATAAACCAACACATGGGATTTTAAAGAGCTGCGCAGGCTTCCGTGCAGTTTCATGGAGGGGCCGCCAGGTGGCGATGTAGGGAGAGGCTAAAAGCAGTGCGCACGGAGCCGCTCTTGACGCGCCCCGGAAGAGGAAGCGGACACGTGAGGCGCTCTACGGTGGCCGAGAGAGGCCACGGCTCCCTAGACAGGCGTCCAAAAGCACCCGCGAGGGGCAGAGAGCATCGTTTCTGCGGCCGAGACGCCCAGAGGGCGACGGGACAGCCAGCAGCATGGTGAAGGAGCAGTTCCGAGAGACGGATGTGGCCAAGAAAATGTAAGCTGAGCGGGCGGAGCCGAAGGGCGCAGGGGGCTGAGGCTGGGCGGTGCGGCGCAGATCTCCCGGAGCCGCCCCAAGACCCCTTTTTGTTGCCATCGTGCCTTGCAGTACCGGGGACCGAAGCCAGGGTCTTTTCCTGAGCTACGTCTCCAGCCCCTTTTTCGACTTTCTGTTTGAAACGGGGTCTCGCTAAGTTGCCCGGGCTGGACTGCAGCTTGCGGTCCTCCTGCCTCAGCCTCCCGGAGAGACGGGGTTGCGGGCGGGCGCCGCCAGGAGGGGATGGGGGGCCCGGGGCTCCTTCGGGTTTGGCACGAAGGCAGGACTTGCTGCCGCAGAGGACGTTGCCGGCCCCCACATGGCAGATGGGTGACACCCTGGGAAAGGCGCGGACGGTCGCCGTATCCGTAGGAAGACTTAGGAAGTACTGCGCTGGCTGGCTCCCCTACAACGCCCATTTTACTGAGAGGCTTTCTGACCGCAACGTAAAGTCGTCTCAAACCTTGCTTACCGCTTGACGATGTCTTCACGTGTTGTGCATCTGTTCACCTCTGTGCGCTCATTCTCCTACAGAGGGGACCAGCTCAAGGGTGCTCGTGTCCCCTGATGAAATGCAGGAGGACTTGCATGTAGTCTGTCTGCATCCTCTGCATGTAGCCCAGACTGACCTCAAACTCACAGGGATCCTCCTGCCGCAGCCTCCTGAATGCTGAGGTTACAGGCGTGTGTCACCATGCATGACCTTCTAATTAGCATTTAAATCACCCTTGGATGACCGGAAATCCTTAATGTGATGTTAATTGTTGCTATACTACTCACTGAGAATTGTAGCAAAGGCGAAAAGCTCGTTCTTCATAAGTCTTCCTAGGGATGTGGTTTCTCTTCAGGGGGCTGTGTGTGTGTATCTTCGTGTTGGTTGATGTGGGTGAAGAACCCAAGGCTGTGGAGTTGGCCCTGTCTGGGTCTGTCTTTCCATCCTGTACTGTGAGCTCCTTGTTGACAGGGGCCTCCCGTCTGTCCAGTCTGTTCCTAGAGCACCCAGGATGGGGCAGTCACATAGTAAAGACGTGGTTTATTTTTATTTTTATTTTAATGCCTTTAGTACAGGGGCTACAGAGTCTCATTGCGTAGATTGGACTCATAGTGATCCTCCTGCTTTCGGCCTCCCAAGCACTAGGATTACAGGTGTGCGCCACCGCGTCCAGTCTCAATCAGCATCTCAGCGCACTCCAGGGGCAGGGCTGGCACAGCATGCCAGGGATCGAACCCCAGCTGCTGCACTCTGCGTAAGCAGGGGCTTTAGTCCACTGAGCTATCTGGCCGGTCCAAGACCTGCTTTATTAGAAGAATGAATGAAGGGACAGATACGGGCCAGAAAGACCTGAGGCACATTTGGACCTGGCACGCTAGGGTTCCTGTGAGATGTGCAGGTGGAGCTGTCCAGAGGGGAGGTCTGCGCCGGGCCCGTGGGGCGGACTCGCCGGCTTATCAGTAGAGATGTCACAGCATCTGCCCGTATGCACCTAGTAGCACAGTCGCGGAGGAGGAGCGTGTGGGCAGAAGGGAAGGGTTGCAGCCCAGGGACATGGGGCACTTAAAGATGAGAGACGGGGCAGCCAGAGGGAGAGGATATTTCAGTGTGGGGTCTCCAGAGCCATGGGAAGGGCTTCAAGATTGGGTAGAGGGAAGCTGGGCTGGTGGTGCGCCCCATACTTGGGAGGCTGAGGCAGGAGGATCTGCACAAGTTCAAGGCGAGTCTGAATGACCTAAGTGAGATCTTATCTCCAAAAAAAGGTGAAGGATGGGCTTCTAAAGCCACACAGCTGTGAGGTGGGATTGTTCCCGTGAGAGTCAGCAGGACCCCAGAGAGTTGTGTGCATCTCATGGGGGGAGTGGGAGCCATTGCAGCGCGATGAGGAGACATCAGCAGAGGGGTGAATGGGCATCATTCGGGGGGCCTGCAGAGAGAGGCGGAAGGACAGGCTGATGGCTGACGGCTGCACGATCCGCACTTTGGGTAGCAGTGGCCTCTGATGCGCTACCCTGTTCCGTCTGTTCTCACAGAAGCCACATCTGTTTTGGGATGAAGTCCCCAGAAGAGATGCGCCAGCAGGCGCACATCCAGGTGGTGAGCAAGAACCTCTACAGCCAGGACAACAACCACGCCCCGCTGCTGCACGGGGTGCTGGACCACAGGATGGTGAGGGAGCTGGGAACCTCTGCGTGGGCTGGCGGGAGGGAGGGGCCGCCCCACCCTGCACGGGACAGCTCCAGGGCCCACCCTGCGGCCTCCCTGTGGTTCTGCGGCCAGCTCCCTGGCCACGCTTAGGCCAGGCCTGGCCTGCATAGTGCTGTCCATTGATGGCCACCCATGCTTCCCCCAAAGGGTACAAGTGAGAAGGACCGGCCTTGTGAGACCTGTGGGAAGAACCTGGCCGACTGCCTGGGCCACTACGGATACATTGACCTGGAGCTGCCGTGTTTCCATGTGGGCTACTTCCGGGCCATCATCGGCATCTTACAGGTGAGTGTGCAGGCCTTGATTTGCGGGAAGAGCTGCAGATCACACTCCGGTGAGCCCTGCACTCAGAGGCTGAGGCAGGAGGGTCCCACGAGGTGGAGGCTGGCCTGAGCTACTTGGTGAGGTGGAGGCCAGCTTGGGCTACACAGTGAGTTCCAGGCCAGCCTGCACTGCGCAGGGAGACGCAAACCCAAAAGGTTTATCGTCTCATCTTTCTGCCCTTCTTCTTCTTTCAAAGATGATCTGCAAGACCTGTTGCCACATCCTGCTGTCCAAGGACGAGAGGCAGCAGTTCCTGGACCACCTGAGGCGGCCCGGCCTGACCTACCTGCAGAAGCGGGGCCTGCGGAAGAAGGTGTCGGACAGGTGCCGGAAGAAGAGCGTGTGCCTGCACTGCGGGGCCTTCAACGGTGTGCACCAGGTCCTTCCTGCCGCCCCCTTGTCCCTCTGGGGAAGAGTCCGGCATCCGCTTTTCTCTGTGCCTGGAGGAAATGCGTCTGTCTCCCTCCGTTCTCCAGCGGCTGTGACTCTCACCCCGACCCACCCGGGAGCCCAGCCCTTGGTCTTTGATGCTCGGATCCCCTCTTACAGGGACAGTGAAGAAGTGCGGCCTCCTGAAGATCATCCACGAGAAATACAAGACCAACAAGAAAGTGGTGGACCCCATGGTGTCCTGCTTCCTGCAGTCCTTCGAGACAGCCATTGAGCATAACAAGGAAGTGGAGCCGCTGCTGGGGCGGGCACAGGTGAGCGGCCCTGGCCCGCAGCCCTGCGCTCCTCCTGGCCCCCGCCTCCCTCATAGCTGCCCTCGCTGGGAGTGACACGGGCTCCCTGTCGCGCTGCCGGGTTGGTGTCCCCGAGCCCCCTCATCATGTGACCTGAGGTCGAAGCCAGGCTGTATTCAGCGACATTCCCAGCCTCTCATATTTGTTTGAGACAGTCTCACTTAGTTGCCGAGCCTGGCCTCAAAGCGGCGATCCTACCGTCTCAGCCTCCCCAGTAGGGTGGGTTATGGCTACGTGCCAGTGCCTTAATTTATTTTTAGTAATAATAAATTTTTACTTGTATAGGTGAAATCTTTCTGTTGTGTGTTTGGGGTTGTTAGGTTTTTGTTTTTTGGGGTTTTTGCCCCCCACTATGTAGTTTATTCTGGCCTTGGACTCACTCTGTAGCCCAGGCTGGCCTCCAACTCACTTCGATCCTCATACCTCAGCCTCCCAAGTGCTATTTAGGTGGGGTTTTTTGTTTTTTTGTTTTTTTTTAATTGGGTCTCACTGTGTAGTGCAGGCTGGCTTAGAACTTAGCATATAGGTCACCCTAGCTGGCCTAGAACTCAGAGTGATCCTCCTGCCTCAGCCTCCTGAGTACTGGGGTTACAGGCAAGGACCACCACACCCAGCCCAGCTTTCTACTGCTAAGAAGAGCTATGGTGACCCTCCTTGTATGGAATCTTCGTGGTCCTTTCTGAAATCCTGCCTTTGAACTAATGAGAGGTGGAGTTTGTGGCCTCCGGGGTCCTTGGGGTTCAGGGCCCTCGCAGCGCGGCCTGCAGCAGCCTCACCCCAGTCTCCCCACACCCTCGCCCGGGTAGGAAAACCTGAATCCCCTGACGGTGCTGAGCTTATTCAGGAGGATCCCAGCAGAAGATATCCCCCTGCTGCTCATGAACCCCGACGCTGGGAAGCCCTCGGACCTGATCCTCACCCGGCTGCTGGTGCCGCCCCTGTGCATCCGGCCCTCCGTGGTGAGCGACTTGAAGTCCGGCACCAACGAGGACGACCTGACCATGAAGCTGACCGAGATCATCTTCCTGAACGACGTGATTAAGAAGGTCAGTACCCGGCGCTCACTCGCTCCCTGCCCACGAGCCCCGGGGTCTCCCTGCCCGGCCCCTGCTGGGCGCGGAGGGCAGCGGAAGTCACGCTGCTGCGCTTGCTCCCTCCCGCTCAGCACCGCATCTCCGGAGCCAAGACGCAGATGATCATGGAGGACTGGGATTTCCTGCAGCTGCAGTGCGCACTCTACATCAACAGCGAGCTCTCGGGCATCCCCCTGAACATGGCGCCCAAGAAGTGGACCCGCGGCTTCGTCCAGCGCCTGAAGGGGAAGCAGGGTAGGCCTCGGAGCCGCCACGGCCTGGGTGTCCTCTGACTTGTTGGATTTTGTGGTTTTCAGACAGGGTCTCCCTTGTGGCCCAGGCAGTCCTCCTGCCTCAGCCTCGCAAGTGCTGGGATTATCGCATGCTGCGCTTCGGGAGAGTGAATGTCAGTCGCATCTACTTGGAGCCTGCAGGCTCTGCTCGAGCTTGCCTGTGCTAGGGGGACGTGTGACCTGCGTGAGCTAGGGCGACCTGTGACGTGTGTGTGCTAGGGCGACCTGTGACATGCAGTGCTCTCATTTATTCAGGTCGGTTCAGAGGCAACCTCTCCGGGAAGAGGGTGGATTTCTCTGGCAGAACGGTCATCTCACCAGACCCCAACCTCCGGATCGACGAGGTCGCCGTCCCAGTCCACGTGGCCAAAATTCTTACTTTTCCTGAGAAGGTAAGAAGGACCCTGTGGCTGCCAGTTTTTTGTTAGAAAGCCCGGTCTCTTACACTGTAGTTTGAAGGAAAGCCCCGATCGCCCGGCGGCCATTTGGGTACTGAGTGTCGGTCTCTGGTTGGTTTTCTGAGCATAGGTAATGCATTTGGCTTATGCGGCCGCGGTTGTATCTCCTTGGTGTGTGCAGACTCACGGACCCATTATAGGCCCCCCACCCCCGGGACCTGTTTCTCATACTAGTAACATCTTCGGCACCTTTTTGTGTTGATTTGGGCTTGAACTTGAAAATCTTCCTGCCTCAGCCTCCCAGAGCCCTGGGACCGCCAGCGTGCATCGCCACACCCAGCCCGTGTTGCCTGTGCTAAGGCACCTAAGCAGGGAACGCCCCTCCCAGCTCCTAGTTCACTTCCGTGATAGGAGGTATTTGCAGAACTAGAATCACTGAGCCAAAGAGTCAGACGTTTCTGGACCAGTGTCACACCAAAGAGGCCGAGGCACCTGCCCTCAGCCCACAGGCACCACAGGTGGGAAAGGTCTTGGTCTTTCTTGGCCTTGTTTGGTTTTTTTTTTCCCCTCTCTGATTGAAGCCCAGATGACTGCAGGGGCCCGAGCTGCACACTTGCGCTTCCCCTTAGTGTTTTGGCAGACGTGCTGGCTGCACCCAGGTGAGTTCTCAGGGTGCCGAGAGCCGCCGTCTCGGGGATGCTCTTCCACCAGACTGCTGTCCGAGGGATACAGGGCAGGGTCCATGTGGGCACTGCTGCCGTCACAACCTTTCTTTCCTCGTACTGAGGGTGGAATCCAGGGAGACTGTGCCGCTCAGCTATATCCCCATCCATTTTTAGCAAAGTGTAGTATGTTTATGGTGTTCCTGCCTCAGCCTCCCAAGTAGCTTGACTCATAGGCATCTAATGAGCTGCCAAGCTTGCTGTCACAACTTCTCTTTTGCTTTTTGTTGCTTTGAGACAAGGTTTCACTGTGTTGTTCAGGCTGGCCTTGAGCTCACTTTGTAGCCCAGGCTGGCCATGAAATCTGTGAGCGTCCTGCCTCCGCTTCCCGAGTGCTGGGCCTACAGGCATACACCAGCATACTTGGCTACTGTCCCAGTGTTTTAACCTTAGAAGCTCCTTGTAATGATCACACGCGAGTTCCCTGCTTCTTTCTGGGGACCACAGCTCTGCTGCAGGGTCCCTGTCCCTCGGCCCATCCTACGCATGTTACGAACGGGAAGGCAAAGGCCAGGCAAGGGTGCGTGGCTGGGCTCCTCGTCAGGGAGGGCAAGCGCAGGCTCTGCGTGCCAGTCTGATGTTTCACTTCACACCATAGGCGGCGGGCTGCCAGGCGGGTCCCCTTTTTCTCTAGCAGTTACACAGGAAAAATCAAGACCATGAGGAGCCCCTGCGTAGTGGCACACACGTGTAATCCCAGCGCTCTGGGGATTGCGGGTTTAGTCCTGGCCTGGCAGCTCAGCAACTCATCGAGACCCTGTCTCAAAACAAAAAAGGACTGGTGGTGTAGACCAGTCTGATGGCCAAGGTTGGGTCCCCAGCACTGGTGGGGGAGGACCCCTACGGCCTGGCTGGGTCTCGCGTGGCAGCTTCCAAATCCCACAGGCATCTCACTGTGGTTTTCATTGCGGTCCTGCAGGTGAACAAAGCTAACATCAACTTTTTAAGGAAACTGGTTCGAAATGGCCCTGAAGTTCACCCGGGAGCCAACTTCATCCAGCAGAGATACACACAGATGAAAAGGTGCCGCCTCCTGGTACAGCCGGCATGGACTAGCCGCCCCCTGCCTACTGCACGCCCAGCAGCCTGAGCAGAGAGGGGCATGGGGGCGCAGAGGTGCAGCTTAGCAGCAGGGCTCGGCCAGGACTTGCAAGGCCCGGCTCAGCCCTCAGTGCCACAGACAAGACAGCAGATGATGTGGGCCTCGGCTCATTCGCTGCTTGGTTGCTGCTTGCATGTGAACAGCTCGCCTGGCTCTGAGCAGAAACAGGCTCATTCTGGACATCTAAGCTAAATTGCCATGACCTCTACTTTTAAAACTTCTACCCTCCCATTTCTTTCACTATTTAGTTTTGATAATTTTTTTTTTTTTTTTTTTTTTTACGTTTGTTTTTTGTTTTTTTTGTGGGACCAGAGATTGAACTCAGGACCCTGCGCTTGCCAGGCACGCGCTTATTCTACTGCGCTATCTGCCCAGCCCCTAGGTTTGTTTTTGAGGCAGGGTTTCCCTGTGTAGTTCAGGCTATCCTGGAACTCCTGGCAGTCCTCTCGCCTTGGCCTCCCAAGTATTGGGATGATGGCTGTGTGCTATAGCACCAGCAATAAAACTTTTTAATTTCAAATTCCTTTTAGATTATCTGTTTTTAAAAATTTCTTCCCACCAGGCGTGGTAGTACATACCAGTGATCCCAGCACCCAGGAGGCTGAGGCAGAAGGATTGCTGTGAATTTTAGGCCAGCTTGGGCTACATAGTAAACTCAAGGCCAGCCTGAACTACACAGCAAGATTTTGTGTCAAAAATAATTTTTTGGGGGCTGGGGAGATGGCTCAGTAGAATAAGCGCTTGCCTGGCAAGCGCAAGGGCCTGAGTTCAAACCCCGGTTCCACCCAAAAAAAAAAAAAAAATTTTTTTTTTTTTGTGTTTTTGGAAGGGTCTACAGGGTCTCACTATGTAGATTAGACTCATCATGATCTGTCTATGTTCAGCCTCCCAAGAACTGGGATTACAGGTGCATGCCCCTACACCGAGTCTCAATTTCTCCTTATTGTTTTTCTTTGTGGTGCTGGGATTTGAACTCAGGACCTTGTTTGGGCTGGGGAAGCACTCTACCACTGGGCTACAGCCCTAGCCCTTCCCTTCGGCATTTTTAATAACGTAAGGTGATTGGGCCCAGATGTGCAGAACAGCGCAGGATTGGGAAACTGGTGGTTCTCTGTGTCCTCAGGCTTCTTCTGTTGACCTTGTGAGCAGGGGGTGCCGTGAGATGGGCGGACGGCTTGGGGCCCTGTAGGGTCCCTGGTTAATGACTGTTTCTGGGGCTCTGAGACTCTGGTTCAGATTCCCATGCTGACCAGTCTGGTGTTTGCTGCACCAGTCAGGCTGTTGTAACTGCCCACCCCCCACCCCATGTGCAAGCTTGTGTCATTGGGTCCTGCTGTGTGTGACAGAGCAGAGGTGTCAGGGGCCTGGAAGCCTGTGCACGTGAGTGTGGCGGGCAGGACCCTGCTCAGCAGGCGGGCGGCTGTGTGGAGGGAGCGTTGAGCTCACCGAGGTGCTTCTCACTGCACTTCAGGTTTCTGAAGTACGGGAACCGGGAGAAGATGGCCCAGGAGCTCAAGTATGGGGACGTCGTGGAGCGGCACCTCATCGACGGCGACGTGGTGCTCTTCAACCGGCAGCCCTCGCTGCACAAGCTGAGCATCATGGCGCACCTGGTGGGTGGGAGCTCTCGCGTCTTTCCTTGTTGCCGTGGAGCCCAGGCTGGCCTTGCTCTGGCAGCCACCCTCCTGCCTCAGCCTCCTGAGTGCCGGGATCACAAGCATGTGCCACCACGCCCAGCTCATTTCTGAGCGCCTGTTTGCCATACATGATGGCTACGTTGCTCGTGGGGAGTTGGCGCAGGGGCATGATGCATGTTGACACCTTTCACAGCCCTTCCCCTGCTACACCTTCAGGCATTGTGATTAGACATATTTGTTTGAGATGGTTCCCATACACACGAAAGGCCAGGCATGGTGGCACAGGCGTGTAGTCCTAGCACTGGGGAGTTAAGGCAGGAGGATCACTGTGAGTACAAGGCCAGCCTGGGCTGCTTAGCGAATTCAAGGCTAGCCTCAATAACAGAATGAGACCTGTCTCAAAAACAGAGAAAACCCAAATGTATATGAAAGTAGGAAGAAGAGTGGGATGCGCTTACACGCCCTGTCATCTGTGTGCAGTGTTCAAGACTGCTGTCCTCTTTCGCTCCCTCTCATACTCCCCGCCCCCACCAGGCCTTTTTCTGTGAGGTTGTTTTTTTTTCTTTCTTTCTGTGTTTAAGACACGGTCTCCAGGGTCTCACTACGTAGATCAGACTCGTAGTGATTCTTCTGTTTTCAGCCTCCCAAGTGCTGGGATTACAGGCACATGCTACCATACCAGTCTCAATCTCTGTCTCAGCGCGCCCCAGGGGCAAGGCTGGCACAGCAAGCCAGGGATGGAACCCTGGCCACTGCGCTCTGCCTAAGCAGGCGCTTTAGTCCGCTGGACTATCAGGCCAGCCCTTGTGAGTTTTACTGACCCCGTGAGGAATGCATGGCGAGCCCCAGGCCCCAGTCATGCCTGGCACCCGCATAACCATTTCTTGGTCGTTTTCTCCAGTCTTTATTCTGCTTTCCTGAGCTCCCTGTATGGTTAGCTGAATGGGGTGCAGAGTGTGCCCACTGTCTGTGGAGACGTGGCTCGGCCTTTTGCTCTCCAGCAAACCCCTTCCTCTTCCCACTTCACTGTCACTGCTCCTTCGTCCAGGAGAATAACCTGTGTGTGTGTGTGTGTGTGTGTGTGTGTGTGTGTGTGTGCCCCTGCCTGTGGCTGTGCAAACGCCTCTTCGCTTTACTCCTGAGAGCTGGAAGTCACTGTGACAGCAAGGTCAGGTCAGGAGCTGCCCGCTGGGGGCAGGCTGTGGGGTGCGGTGTGCTCCCCTCTGCCACAGAGGCTCGTGGGCTCCGGCGGCCCCAGTTGTAATTATGCCAGGTGTGAGGTTCAGGTGCCCCTGGGCTGTGGATGAAGCCCAGTTTCTGCTCTCTGCATGTGTCACCCAGTGCCTCACAACGAGCTGTTCTCTTTGCACTGGGAAACATGGGGGCGCCCTGCTTGTGTGGAGCTTCAGCGTGTGAGTGAAAGTGACTGGAGTGGCTCCCGAGGCTCCCGCTTCCTTTATCATCATAAGAGAACGAGAAGTTCAGTGCTCCATTACTTCCAGCCAAACCAGCTTGGTCCCTTACTTGTTTTGACTCTGTTGTTACAAACTCGGGGCTTTATTTAGTCTTTAGACCTTATTCTCCCTTCGCCCTGTTTTGGTACTCAAAACTGTCACATCCCTGGCTGCTGGGAGCTGGTGTCCCTGGCTGCTGTGTTGGCATCTAGGTGTAGTGTGAAGTCCCTGGCTCTCCTCTGGCCTAATAGAGGGCGCCTTGAGAGAGGCGGGAGGTGACTCGTGAGTCACCAAGGAGCACGTAGACACACACTGCCTTAATTGAGCTTGCCGTGGTTCAGGCAGCCACTTTCTAACGTGGTGAGCGAGGGGCTTCCAACGGTGGCAGCATGCTAAGTCCTTTTCCTGCTTGCCTTGGTACCCCGCAGGCCAGGGTAAAACCCCACCGCACCTTCCGGTTCAATGAGTGTGTCTGCACCCCATATAATGCTGACTTCGACGGCGATGAGATGAACCTTCACCTTCCCCAGACAGAAGAAGCCAAAGCCGAGGCCCTGGTTCTCATGGGGGTAGGTAGGGCGAGGGTGCGTGGCCCTGGGGAGGGGCGGGGCTGCGGTGCCTGCCTGGAGGATTTTTTTTTTTTTTTCCATCTGAGTCTTTGAACAATCTCCTTTAGAAATTGTAATATGTAAGGTACACTGATCATCAGAGGTGCTTTTGGGGGGACGGGTGTTGACATGATGTGGATTCCTGCGACGAGATACAGCACATGTACAGGAGGAGCAGCTGTGAAAATATGGGCGGTTATAGTGGTGCATGCCTGTAGTCCCAGCTCGCAGAGGCTGAGGCAGGAGGACCAAAGTGAATGCGAGGTCAGCCTGAAATACATGCTGAGACGCCCTCTCAAGAAAACACCAGCCAGGTGTGGTAGTGCAGACTGGTGATCCCAGTGCTCTGGGAGGCTGAGGCAGGAGAGTCATGAGGTCAGGCCCAGGCTGGGCCGCCTAGCAGCTTAAAGATCCTGACTCCAGGTAAAAAGGTTGAAAAGGACTAGGGATGTAGGTCAGTGCTGAGGCCCAGGTTCAATCTCCAGCACCTAGTACTCCACCCCACCCCAAGAAAGGCATAGTGGCGGGGGTGCCCTGCCTGAGGGATTTGCCGCTAACTGGGGATCCCTTGACAATGGTGCCTTTTATTGAATATCCTGAAGGGAAACATTCGAGGCCTGGTGCGTGCTTTTCACTCTCTTAAATGGTGGTGGTGCCTAATGAATCTCCACATTCCTTTTAGGAGTTGCCATGGTGAGGGTGTCTCAGGTGGGGGTCCAGGCTCTCCCTGTCTTGTTGTATGAGTCACCCTGCTGTGGCTCAGGGCCCAGAAAGGAGAGCTCCGACCTCCAGAACCCAGACCAGGGACTTGGTAGAGGGGCAGCACTTCAGCCGCCTTCTCCCTGAGGCTCTAGCTTCCTACTCTCCGAACTGACATAGCAGCTGAAGCCAGGGCCTTTGCATGGAACTACAGCCCCAGCGCTTCGGCCTCTCGGAGTGTTGCAATTACAGGTGTCCACCACCGTGCCCCGCTGAACTGATACGTCTTTGGGTTGTGTTCCTAGCTGTGGGACCACTTGTTACTGTTTCTTATCCATTTTGTGACGCTGCGGATTGACCCCACTGAGCTACATCCCCAGCCCTACTTATTACCACTTCCGGTCTGCCACTCTTTGTTTAAGCCCGTCTGTGCATAGTTTTGGGGTTTGGTTTTATTTTGTCTTTTTGAGACAGGGTCACTATGCAGTCCAGGCTGGCCTTGAGCTCACTTTGAAGCCAAGGCTGGTCTCGAATTTGCAGTGATACCCCAGCCTCAGGTGTGCGCTTCCCACCCAGCCCCTAGTTGTGGAGTTTAAACCTGTCTACATATGTAGGTTTATTTTTTTTTCTTCTGTAATAGACATGTATTATTTTTATAAGAAAAAGTCACGTTGAGAATCTCACCAGGGTAAGAGCCACCACGTGCAGCGTTCTGGCATTCAGGACCCATAGCATGGGGTTTTCCAAAACAGTGCACTGCCCGCGTGCCCCTCTGTCCCCTAGACCACCTACTGGCCCTCCACAGGGCTCTCTGGGCTAGGAGGGCGGGGAGTCGGCAGTGAGTCCTGGCCCTGGCGGCAGCTGATGCCTCACTACCCTAGGAGGTGGCATGGTGTGTGGGAGCAAAGGGTCCAAAAAAGGCGCACGGGCAAGGACCCCTCCTCAGCATCAGTGCGACTGGGCTGTCTGGTCCAGCGGGGGTTCTCCCTCCTCCCACCCTTTGCCACCAGCACTTGGTGCCGGAATTCGACTCCAGGCCCTCCGGTGTGCTATGTAGGTGACATCCTGGGCCCTGCCACCCAGTACACCCCACCCCCCACAATCAGGATCTCTTGTTGAATTGATTGACACTGAATGTCTCAACCAAGAGAAGTGTAACAGTTCTGTCATTATCGTGGTGATAGGAATTGGCAGCTTCAGTGGAACACGGCTTTTACGATCCACAAGACTAAAAATATTGTTCGAGAAGTGCACGTATTGATGAGAACGAACGGAGTGAGCTGTAGAGTTCTTCCTGGAGTTCAGAAACCCTCTTGCTCCATGCTCATCTTAGGGGCAACAGGAGGCTCCCAGCCACTCTTGCTGGTGCCTCTCCGCTCATGGGCAGATGTGGGAGCTGGAGCAAGGCCAGGCCGGGATGGTGCCGACCCTGGCTCCCGCGTCCTGGCCGCTGCGCTGCTGTGCTTTTTTGTAGCGAGTGGAGGCAGCGTGTAGCCACGAGGAGCTCACATACTGTGCTGCTTTTTCCTTCAGACAAAAGCAAATCTCGTGACCCCCAGGAACGGGGAGCCGCTCATCGCTGCGATTCAGGATTTTCTAACAGGTGGGTCTGCGAAAGCCTCCTGAGAGCAGGCCTTTGTCTGCATGGACAGCGGCGGTTCTTGCACACAGCGATGCCGGTGTTGACCCGAGCACTTCAGGGTTGCTTCATTCCCTTTGTGTGCTCCATTTGCTTGTGATCCTTCTCGCAGTGTCTATACTGATTAGCTGTTCATTGAGTCAACAAGTGCTTATTAAATGCCCGTTGTGGCCTGGGCGAGCTCCAGCCTGGTGTCTGGCCTGGCTCAGGTCCAGCGGTGAATGACATGTGCTTACCCAGAGCTTAGAGTTGAACGGGAGCGGGGAGCAGCTGTGTGTTTTAATTCAGGCTGTTGGTAATGGTCCAGCCTGGTGCTAAGGTTGAAAGCCTTGGGCTCTCCCGGTGTCATCCTCTCTGCTCTGTGTTGGCCGATGACGGCTTTAGGAGCCTACCTGCTGACACTCAAGGACACGTTCTTCGATCGAGCCAAGGCTTGCCAGATAATCGCTTCCATATTGGTGGGCAAGGATGAGAAAATCAAAGTCCGTCTCCCTCACCCTGCCATCCTGAAGGTGTGTACATGCGGCTGTGCGGCTGTGTTCGTGTGGATGGCTGGGTGGAGCGAGTGTGATGGGTGGGTCCCGGCACTGAAGAATCCAGACTGGCCTCAGCCCCTGATTCTCGGCCTCCTCCGCACCTCAGCCCGTCACCCTGTGGACTGGAAAGCAGATCTTCAGCGTCATCCTCAGACCCAGCGAGGACAATCCAGTGAGAGCCAACCTCCGAACCAAGGGCAAGCAGTACTGCGGCAGGGGGGAGGACCTGTGCACCAACGATTCCTGTGAGTGAACAAACTGGGTGGCCAGGGCAGGGCAGGGCAGGGCAGGTGCCAGCTAAAAAGCTAACTGGGAATCAGTGTCACTGGTCCTGGAAATAGCGAGCAAAGCCAGGGTTTCTCCTGGCCCCTGTAGGAAATTCAGCCTCCAGGAAAATTTAGCCCATGTGTCTTCTCTCAGCTGTTGTCCCCACTTGTTTTGGATGGAGGAATCATATGGTGTCCAAAATTGCTCTGTATCAGAAGGTGCTATTACTAAATTAACAAGACTTTTTTTTTTTTTGGTGCTGGGATCAAACCCAAGGCCTCACTCGGGTGCTAGGCAGGCTGCACTGCCCCAGCCCCAGCCCCGAGTTGCTTACCTGAGGACCAAGTCTAACGGGACAGGATTTCCGGACACGTCCTCTGAGTCTGCCCAGAGTGGCTCTGCCCCAGTGTCCTCCACAGACCAGCGCCATCCAGCTGTGACATTCTGCTGCAAGATCTTCCCGCACCCCAGTAATAAGCAGACCTGCAGGCTGCTCAGGGGCGTGGAGGAGGACTCCCTGGTAGACTGAGCCTAGGGCCGCACACGTGCTGAGCGCCCACTCTGCCGCAGAGCCAGCTGTACGCCCAGCTCCAGCTCGAGCATCTTGTTTTGGGTTTTTTCTAGACATGGATTTCATGCTGTTCTCCTCATGAGGGCGCCAGTTGGTTTTCAGTAATTTAGGTGAATAAACAGCTTGCTCCCAGTTAACAAAGCCCTTTGCCATATGTGGTTTCATCTGAAGCCAGAAACCTCCCAGACACAAAGGTGACGTGTACGCCGCCATGGTGGCCCACGCCTGGAATCCCAGCATAGGGATGCTGAGGCAGGAGGAGCACCGCAGGTTCAAGGCCGGCCAGGCTACCTAGTGACGGCCTATCTCAGAAGGCCAAAATTAAGCAAGTAAGCGTCCATTTCCACGCCTGATGCCCTCCGTTCTCGCAGACGTCACCATCCAGAACAGTGAGCTGGTGTGCGGCAGCATGGACAAGGGGACCCTGGGCTCAGGCTCCAAGAACAACATCTTCTACATCCTGCTGCGGGACTGGGGGCAGAATGAGGCCGCCGACGCCATGTCCCGGCTCGCCAGGCTGGCCCCCGTCTACCTGTGTGAGTGTCACCGCCGCCGTGCACCCCAGCTTGAGGACCTTCCTGCTGTCTCCAGCTAAGTCCTCGGGTGACCCTGCTGGGGCTCCCAGTGTGCCCTGCTGGGGGCCAAGTCACCAAGTGGGCTGGCGCTAGCTCAATCCCTCCTCCGCTTGTGCTTTGCAAGGGGCGTGTGCTATGTGATTTCTGCACACGGGGAAAGCTGTGCTACTCACTAGTGAGTGGCTCTTTCATTGGGTATGAAATTCTAGATTGATCATTGGTTTTCCTCATACCTTTAGAGGTGTTGCTCTGCTCCACCTTGCAGAATGGTTACAGCGTATAGCCGTTCCTTTCAGATTTTGTATTGGAACTGTTTTTCACTTTGAGCATGCAGCGCCCACCCCTTGCTCTTCTTCCGAAAGGCCATGGTGAGGAGTCCTCACTGCTGGTCCTTCCGGTCATCACGCTGTGTACTGCCTTCGCTTTCGCCCTCCGCCTGCTAACTGCACCCTCGGCCAGTACGCTGCGCCCCAGCCTCCCCGAGCGCCTGCTTGTGTCCAGGCTGTGGCCAGGAGTTGCACACATGCGCTGTAGTGCTTCTCTGCTAATTCCTCACTTGGTTTGCATTCTTCTTTCTTTTCGGGAACCTTGTTAATTGCGTATT